CATTGGTATTTGCTGGATATGTCTCCAGCCTTGAACTATGTGATTTGGTGTAGATTTAAGGATACAAGAGTTCTCAAGCACTCAAATAATGGAACTAGGTAGAAAGTAATTCTATGCTGCTTTTTATGCATGATGTGGAATTTGATCTGGAGCATGAGAAATCTCGTCTTTAGGGAGATCCGAAAATTCTGATTTCTGAATACTTTCTATGAAAGTAAAGCACAAAAAGGAAAAAAAAAATCATATGCAGTTCAAAGTTCATTTCTTGCCTTTGTATGAGGCAGTGACAAAGCTCTGTAAGGACATAGCAGTTGCCAAGGTACTTTGCATGCTGGAGGGCAAGCTGATGGGGAAAGTATACTCTTCCAGTCCTATCAAGTGCAATGGATTCCTGTTCAGCCTGTGATTTTGCATAGAGCAGATCCAAGACAATCAGGAGAATTTAATTAAATTGTTACTGATGTGTATCAAAAGGAATCAACTAACTTGTTCTAACGTGTAAAGGAAAAAGACTTCAGCTTGCCTAACATTCTGCTTTAAAGTGCAATGTAGCTGCTTATGTCTTTGTGATAAAATGTTCAAGGCAGCGTAAGTCTGTTTTCTTTAAGTAAACCTGAGCGAAGCTGTACATCCAGGCTGGTTTTCTAGGTTTTCCTTTCCTAGAAAGAGTGTCATCATTGTTTGAGCTTCTGTTAAGGATACCTCTTTAACAGTCTGGTGTATCAGAGAAGTAACCCTTAGCAGAGGCAGAACTGAGGAAAAGAGTTGCAGCTGAGACAACAAATCTTGTCTGTGCAGCTTGGGAAATGAAAATTGACTCGAGAGCTGGACTAATAAACAAACTAACTGTAACAGTGTCTAAGGACACTGCATGTGGTGAACTTGTCAGGTCCATCTTGGCCTGGGTGTGCATGTGCTTTTTTTCCAGAGTAAGCAAAACAAGGGTAGAGGTCTCTGTGTCCTCATGCACGTGTACTTAGGTAGGGTAGATGTGGGTAATAACTCTCTGTCCCTGTGTTGCCCTGATTCTTCCCTTTGTCTTTCTTTAGATGACACTGATGATAATGGAAGTTGTAGACTCTGAGAACTCAGCCACAAGATTGGTGAATGCTTGTGAATTCTTTTTCCTAGTCATTGTTGCTGAATCCCAGATGGGATATTGTTGATGAAGAGTCTTGCTGCTTTGGGAGAGTAAAATGGGCAAAAAGGCTACAAATATTAAATATTGATAAATGCAGGGGTCTTTTGGTCATTCTTAGAAATGGGTTGAAGAACAGCTAGGACACTCAGTAGGTAGTTACCAACCACTATCAACACCAGCTGCTGTGCTACCTCTTTTGTCTACAGAATATTCAGTGAGAAACTTGTGGGTTCTCTTGTGAGCTTCTCTGCATTTTGAGGGAGCCCTGTAAAACTCTTGTTGTGACTTGCACGTGATGCCTTCCTCTGCAAGTGTACATGGCTTGTGTCTGTCACACTGGGTGACCCTGGGAGAGTTGATGATATACTCTGGGAGAAGAGTGCCACACAGCTAGGCTTAAAGAGCTACTATAGGAAATAGCAGCATACCAATACCTTAGTTGTGGTTTCATCTATTGGAAGATAAATTACTGTGGGACTAAATCTAGTTTTATTACTTTTGCCCTAGTCAATACATGTTGCATTTTGACCCCTGGCTATGCCTGCCCTTATTTCTGTGCTTGCTTTTAAGATGTGTGATTCATGAAATTCACACCTACAAACATGCCCAGCTCAGTGAGATGTCTCTGATGAGAGAAGATAAGTGAGCTAGCCTTCAAAAGAATGAAGCTTGCTATAAAACTAGCTGATAAGTTTGTGGATTCTAAGCTTTTTCCTTGGGGGTTGCAGTGAATCAGCTTGTCTTCAAGAGAAAAAGCTGGTTTCCTCAATCTGTTTGATCTGTTTGAAAGAGGGAAGAAGCAATAGAGAGGGAAAAGGATAGCTAATGCAGCATGATTTCAAACCATGTTCTCTTTCCAATGGAAAGTGAAGTAGGACCAACACTCTTTTCACGTACTATGAACTGAATTTCTACACAGCTGTGAGGATAGAAGTGCAGGAAAAGGAAGTGGGATATTATTAAATAGTCCTTGCAGCACATGCATGATAAGTTTTGATAATTTGGTAACCATCACTTTCTGACTAAGAACTAATAATGTTAGAGAAATGACACAGATAGCAAAATATCTCATCTAAATATAGAGATAAGAGATTTCTTCTTGATCTGCAGTAGTGTAAAGCTGGTTTTAGGAAATACAGGACATTTAACATCCCCACACATTCCATTCTGATTGCACTCAGTGCACACAAACAGTGGGTACTGATTAATTGTTTCTGTGCTCTATGGGTTAGCAGATCCCTGAAGTGCAAAGAATTCTGTACGTGCATCTTACATGACCACAGCGTGCTGCGGGTGGGATGTGCAGGAGGGATTGTGCATCTTCTGTTCTTGGGCTGCTGTAAACTAAACTGATTCTATCCCGCTGATGAAATATATTGAACACTGCTTTCTTTTCAATTGCTTGACAGAAGACAAACCTTTCCTTTTTTTCTTTTCCAATGTGGTTTTCAAATAAGATTGTAGGACAGCTTTTAAGAATGTTTGAACTTCTATAGCAAGGCCTTTATTAAAACTTCGCTTTTTTTTTTTTTTTTTTTTTAACATTTTGTCCCAGCAATTATCACACACATCAAGTGTACTCTCAAACAAACACATAGAACTTAAATTTATCTTCAGTCTGGACAGCCAAATTGTGGAGTTGTTTTTAAACAGTGGATTCAGTGGATTGTTTTTAAAACAAGAATTCTGGAATCAGAGCAAATCACTTTTTAAAGCTATTGCAAGCTGCTAAGTTTTAGCATGTATTTACTTTTTTTTTTTTTTTTGTCAGCAGTATTCTTGAAATACATGAATGATATGTGATTAAAGGGAAAATAAAAGCATTTTATTGATTGTTCTGGTACCTTTTTACATTCTTTGTGAATTTATCTTCAGATTTTATTTTTAATATGCCAAATAGGTGGGAAAGAAAAGCTTGACTTTTACTTGCTTGCTGAACTGTTCTAGTTAGACTGCATTTTTTCTTAAATATGTGGGATTTTTTAATCATTGAATTTTTTTCTGGTAAGATACCTTTTGACAAAGATTGTGTCTGTGTGGGTATAGCCAGCTTCAAGAGATGAACCAAATGAGTTGGTGTTGAGTCGGTAGAATTGATTAAGTACAGACATGTCACTCTCCTATTAAAATTGCAGTATTATCAATATTGCATATACAGACAAATTCAGGCAAATATCTATGTAAAAATCTTCCTGAGCCTCTTGGGTATTTCTTTGCAACCTACTGAGCAACCTACATAAATTCTGTGTGTATAATGGCTGCTATGTGAGCATATATTCCTCAGAGAAGAGGGAGCTGTACTAGGGAGGTGTTTAATGACGTCCCCATCTGGGACTGTGGGATAACTGCAGCCCTCATTCTGTGTTGGCCATGATACTAGATCTGCTCCACAATACAGAAAAAGCTGTCTTCTGCAGATCTGTTTAATAAAAAAGCTGTATTATATATGTGGTCTGGAGAGCTGGAAGAAGCATTCTGATACCTCTGAGGGTGAATGATTATTCACTTTCTTTATCATGAAGTGTTCCTGGTAGACATGTTCTGCCCTTCAATTGCTACTTCTAATTTAAAAACTCCCTACAACAAACTTACACTGTGGAATTGATATTACAGCTGTAATAACAAACCAGAGTTTCTACCCAGAAGGAAAAAGAATATTGGCATTTTGCCTTCTTTCACACTTGCATTCCTTTCAAGCCTGAAGCAAGTGTAATATGTGAATGAAATTGCTTGGGGTGATGTAGTCTGTCTGCCTTTTGCTAGGTTGTCTTGAAACAGCTGCTGAGGTGGGACAGATTGCATGTCCAATGTGAATAAGCGGTGCTGTCCTGCAACAATGGTTGCTGTGTTCTGGTCTGCTTACAAGGGATATGGGAGAGAATTGCTATCTTGTAACAAATGTTTTGAGTTTGCACTATTTTCTGCAGATGAATGTGTTGATTTTAAGTTTGATCAGTACTTTCTGAAGCCTGAGCAAAATCTGGAAAGAAGTCAATTTACTTTTTCGTTCCCAGGACAGAAAGATCAAAGCCTTGATTTTGCTTATAGTGTTTGGGTGAACAAGGCAACAAATCAACTATGTAATGGCTATTTAACTTTGAAGCAAAATATTAGGCATAATGTTTGTTTTCAGTCTCTAACTGAGAGGCTAGTAAGTGCAAATTACTATTTAATGGAAACAAAACTATAATAGGGGTAATCTAGATTAGTTCGGCTTTTTTACAAAACGGGCTTTGTGCACACAACATGTCTGCTGCATTCCCTCATCTGTGTTTCCCCACAAGGCAAGAGTAAGATTGATGTAAATACGACATTTGAAGCTGCTGCGGAGCAGGCAGGGAGGAGCATTATTTGCTCTTTGTCTGTGTCCCAAGTGAGATTTTAGCGATGACTAAAAAGGTCAGGTAAAAGGCTTGCAGATGTAAAGGATTTGTTATACTGAGAAAGTAAATTCTGTTGGGCTGGATTTAATTAGCAAAGTTGAGTTGGAAAGTCTGCTCCAGCGGAGGTCACGGAGGAGCTTTGAGGCTTGTGTTACCATTGCCTAGAGACTCAGTCTCCAACCATGATGTAGGTATAATTTGAGTATGAATGCTCGGGCTTTCTTGTAGGCATTTTTTCATAGTGCCTACAAGTGAGATATAAGAGAGTTATATCTCACTTATAAGAAAAGTGAGATTTAGGTTTTCTGTCTGTTTTTTTTGTTGTTGTTCATTTGTTCGTTTTGAGCAAAATGGTAAGTAAAAGGCATCTAAGCAAAATTTGAAAGTCACCTTGCAGGATATGGACAGGATGAGAGAAGCTAAGTTGACTAAATGAGGGAATTTGATACTCAATCTTTGTCTTTTTCTCCCTGTAGATGAAGTTGTTCATGTTTCTGTTCCTGAGAAGCTCACCTTTGAGGAAGCAAAAGAGCTATGTCGGAAAAGAGATGGTGTTCTTGCTTCTGTTGGAAACATGTATGTTGCCTGGAGGAATGGCTTTGACCAGTGTGACTACGGCTGGCTGGCGGATGGAAGTGTTCGCTACCCTGCCTCTGTGGCTAGGCCCCAGTGTGGCGGAGGTTTACTTGGGGTGAGAACCCTGTATCGCTATGAGAACCAAACAGGCTTTCCTTACCCAGATAGCAAGTTTGATGCCTACTGCTACGAACGTAAGCTTTTTTAGTTATAATTTTCAGTACACTCACTGTTCTATGTCTGAAAATTGTTCACTATAATATGTTTTGTTTCAGTTCTTGAAGTGCACGAGTCCTTAAAAAATGTTTTATCATTATGGCTTTAAAAAAAGTAATAAGAGAAAAGCCAAACTAAGACAAATGTCTTAAAGTAACATCTTGGTACATTGATGCAAAATTTTAAGGTAAGATTTCAGCCTGCTAAGTACTGTTCTGTTTATGCAGTGATATACACTATCCGCAATCACCCTGGGACCTGTGACTGTGGAATGCTATGTAATTCAGTGCCTCACTGCACCCTGATTCCTTGTATGTAATGTCAATGAACATGAGAACAGAAAAAGATGTCTTCTTTGACTAAGGGAGTGACTATCATCTAACCTGATGCTCTATTCTGAATGATGGCAGTAAGAGAGGCTGTTTACAGATTGCATTTAGCCCTACCGATGGAAATGCCAGTAATCTGGAGGCTGTCATTGGATTCTAGACATTTCCTCCCATCATATTTTTTATGCTTCTAAAGCAGTTTTATGTTCTGCTCTCACCCACGTGATGTTTCACGTACTTTTCAGCTGGCACTGTGGATTGTCTAAATTGCCTTTCTTACTGCTGCTTTTTTTTAATCTGATATTTTCTGAAGCACATCAAGTATTTGCCACATCCATCTTTAAACTGCATCAATCTAAATCAGATCTCCTTCATGCCTGTCAACTTTCCTTGGTCTTTGGGGTTAAATGTTCCTCTGCAACCTCTTCCATCTTCTGGTCAAGCAGCCTGGCTCTGCTGTTATTATGGTGCAGTCTATCCCTGCACAGATTCCATTTGTCTCAAAGATTCCCCAGCTTCTACTATGAGCTTCTCTTCCCTTTACCATTATCTCACCTGTGCACTGCAGGTCTAGATCCCTGCCTGTCTCTCTGACCTTCCTGGAACTGACAGTGCTTCACATACCACTATGGAGAACCTGGCCTCATCTGCCCAGCCTCCTTCAGAACACCTCTCTGACAATTCTCTCCATCCTCACTGATGATTACTTACACCGCCACCTCCCCTCCACTTCCAGATAACTTATCCATCCATCCTATGACGTTAAACATTTGAGCTACTATGTAGACCTTTCAAATACTGCACACCAGATAACTGTGTCAATTAGCAGAGGATTCTATCACCTTGTTTCTGTCCTTTATGATCCCTTCTATCACAGGACTGTTCCTGATGCAAGAGGACACTGATACTATTAGAAGGTCAGTCATGTATAAGAGGTTGGAGTTTGTGTCTTCCCAGCTGAATGTCCTGAGTCTTACAGGCTCCTCACCAACACAGGAAGGTCAGACTTCTCAATAATTTCCCTACAGGCCTCTCTGGTGAAGTTCCTGTGGTTACAGACAGTGCTTTTGGCACTAAGGAATAAAGACTGCTTGTGTTGTATTAGTCTTTAACTAAGAAAGTACAGTTTGGAGGGGCTCACTTCTATGACTGCAAGTCACCATTACTTGAAATTTGCAACCTATGCTGTCCTCAGTTTTGTCAGTGATGAGCTAGTTGAAGATGTGAATCTCTCCAACCAAGGCACTGAAGGCTCCTTTATGAACAAACCTTACTGCTTGAGAAACAAATCCCAAGATCTAGTGTAATGTTACAGTCTGATTGTTCACACACACTTGAACATGCATTTTTAAATTTTTATTATTGTTATTTGTTGCTTGTGAGTTAGATACTGCAAAACTTTGCATGTAAAGGTAGTCCTGGAGGACTTCAGAGGAGCTGTATACCAGGAATAAGGACTAGTTATGTTAGGAGTGTGTTTTAATCTGCAGGGCATAATTTTGTCATGTTACTCCTTCTGCCACTTCATATTTATTGTTTGTAAGTTGCAGGTAAAATTAACTAGTGGACATAAAACTCATTAATCCCTCTAAAAAACTGAAGTAAGTACTGAGTGATTTGCTTATAGTCCATGAGTATGGAACTTTTAATGTGAAAATAAAGAAGACCATACCAAGCCACCATAATTTATTAAATAGTGAACTTGAATTCTAGGAATTTTGATTGCAGTCAACATTACATCAGACATAATTAAACACTGCTAGTTAGATGACTCAGGTTTTGCCAAACATATCTTGATTTGTGCAGGGAAAAAAAAAAGAAGTATAATGCTGAATTGTATGTACTCCCCTTCATACTTGCTGAAAACTCTCCCTCTCATAAGGTGCTTAGAATTTCTCAGAAACCATCTGCAATTCTCCATTGCTTTTGATAAAAGATTTGTGCATGTGTTAGTGAGACTATCTAGTGGTTTGGTCTTTCACATCCCAGACAGCTTCCTGAAGTGGCAGCTGTAGTGAATCACTCTGCTGGTGGAGCCAATCCCTTTTCGGGGACAGAGGAACAGGGAAAAAGTTAAAAATGGCTCTGCAGCATAGCAGGAGATGTGAATTTAAGTCTTTGTTTCAAATGATCCTTTATATGGAAGTTTCATCTAAAGCTTCCCAGTCAGCTCTATTTCAGCATGACAATATACCACATCAAGTCCTCTATCCTGATGCTCTGAGTGCTTTCAGCTTGATATGAAGTCTAACACAGTGATTCCTGCAGTGCCAAGAAACCAAACATTCTTCCCTAAAACCTTGATTCTTTGCAGTTAACTCTAATAGATTGCCCATAGCTCTTAATATGCTCATTAGGTATTTGATGTTACAAGACATTTCTGTGGCTGAAAAAGAATAAAATGGGGAAGTGGCTATGCACATCTGCTACAAGAAAAAACACTGAGTTCCTCTGCAAACAAGGAAGGAACAAGTTGCCTGTTCAGATAGTACCAGTGCCAAAGGTCTGCAACACAGATGTTCATACAGTGACCTGGGGTTTTTAAAGCATCCCCATACAGTTTCCTCTGCCAGCAAGGTTCACATTGATCAAGCCTTGAGTACTGTGCCCACATGTAGATATTCTGTTTGAAATGCAACAACAATGACTGAAGACCTGCACTTCTACTCATGCTGAGCAACACTTTCCACCCTGAGCAAGACCACTGCAGCAAATGCTGCCCAGCACCAGAGTCTAGCTCTCAAATTTACATGTACTTTAAAGCAATAGGTCTGTGGCAAAGCAGGCAGTTGTTTGAATCATTATGAAGACAAGTCTTGAGTTTAAGAAAATGGATACTTCTTTCTTCAGCCCTCCTTAAAGTCTTTACTCCTAACTTGTGATTGAATGTATTTAAATGGAATATCACAATATATTAATTTTAGATTGCAGTAGAGTTAGAAGAAGCCTTAACTGATGCATTGAAAATCTAACTTTCAGACTCACATGATCAAAATATGTATTAAAAAAAAGCATAACTCAACTGTAAATTAAAACCAGTAGGCACTAATTTCAATAAAACAGCTGACCTGGACAATATTTAATAGTGAAGTTCAACTTTTGAACTTCAGCTCTTTTCTGGCTACATAATTACGTTGTGCAAAGTGTCTTTACTTCTGGTAAACAGAAATGGTCTAGACTAGTAATATATGATTTAAAATCTAAAAATCTTGTTAAAAAATAACAACCCTCTTCACTTTGATCAATCCTTTTCTTATTCTACAGAAACCACATGGCTTTGAATTTCTGAAACATTATCCATGTGTTTCAGCTCATCCTTTGAGTATTGCCAGACATCTTAGGGTTTTTTTGTTTGTTTGTTTGTTTGTTTCTATCAACAGTTTACGGGATGGTTCTGCCCAGTTCTGTGACAAGTGGGGAGGAGGGATCCGCAGATCCGCACCTCTGGAAAAAAAGGAAACAGGAGACCCCAAAATAATTAAAACAGCAGCACCGATCTGAGGAGAAACAAACTAATTTACTAATATGTTATCGGAATGCAAGATAACACACTATAATACAATATAATCAGAATTGAAGCTAATAAATCAAATATAATGAGAGAGAGAATGTCTGAAAGGGTGGATAGGCCTCACCACAACGCTGGGGTGAGATGCGCAATCCGGCTGAGCAGCAGCAGAGATGGGAGCAGTGCCCACGATGAAGGGCAGGTGAGAAAGAGCAATCAGGTGACCCTGCCAGGAGTTAAACCTCCTCTCCCTGACCGCAAGGTCCCCTGGGGAATGTAGTTCTTCTTGTCTTCAGGGCAGGTACCCAGGACTTGAGCATTGATAGTTAAACTCCCAGTGCCCCACATGATGTTATGGTGTGGAATACCGAAAGCCAAAAATCACAAAACCATGACAGTTTCTCTAAGAGGTGCCAAATCATGTATCTGATAAAGCTTAAAAAGTTTCAGATTAAATTAAGTACTTGAAGCTCCCTGGAGACCATCTTCAAGGGAAGTTTTTCAGGTGTTAAACTATAGGACTTCTAGTCACGGTTCAAAACAAACAAACAACAAAAAAAAACAACCCATTAAAAAAAATCCACGCAAGAATTAATGGTAGAACAGCTGTAGAACAACTGATAAGAGAATAAAACATTGCTTCAGCAAAAAATTCCTTCATTTTTAATTGGATACCTGTTTAATATTTCATTGTTGCATGGAGCTATAGGGTATTTATTTAACCCCATTCTCACCCCAGCCTCTGTCTCTTCATGCTTAATTCGGTGGAGTGTGTGGGAACCTTGCACAGACTTCAACAGACTTTGGATTAGGCATTTTATACTGCATTATCTGTAGAATAAATTGTGCTCCAGAAATGCACTAAGCAATATCTGTGCAGTTTTTGATGTGCATATCAGTAGCAAAACTGAAATAGATACACACAGAGGTCAATGAAGCTTTGAAGAATGAATGCACGTTTTACTGAGAAATGCTGGTTTATTAAAGCTGAATACTTTCATAGAGCTGTATGGTTTTTGTGAACTTCTCAGTAAAACAGTTTTTTGTTTGCCTCAAAACATCTGTTCGACATTTTGGAATAATTCTGCTCTGGATTGACCATTTTGTTTCATATTTGCTTTTTCATTTTGACTTTTTATTT